GTTTTTATTCACATATTTCTTTATATTGGATGTGACTGCCTCATCAAAAGTTTAAAATAAATGCATGTTCCGGGTGTGCCCCCCATTCCCATTATTCTGTTTATATTTGGAATCCAGAGCAGATTCCATTTAGGCTAAGCACCTTATCCTTCCATTATAGGTGCCTCTTTGGTATTGCACAGAGGAAATCATACATTTAAGCATAGCCTTTTAAAGCAGTTTAACCCCTTAAGGACACATGACATGTCTGACATGTCATGATTCCATTTTATTCCAGAAGCTTGGTCCTAAAGGGGTTAAGTAGTTAGTATAACAGCATTTAAATCTCCCAGATTAAAATTAGTGTATGATCCACCGATATTGGGGTACTGTGACGTAATTGGTGAAGGACCCACCTATATTGGGGTACTGTGACGTAATTGGTGAAGGACCCACCTATATTGGGGTACTGTGACGTAATTGGTGAAGGACCCACCGATATTGGGGTACTGTGACGTAATTGGTGAAGGACCCACCGATATTGGGGTACTGTGACGTAATTGGTGAAGGACCCACCTATATTGGGGTACTGTGACGTAATTAGTGAAGGACCCACCGATATTGGGGTACTGTGACATAATTGGTGAAGGACCCACCGATATTGGGGTACTGTGACGTAATTGGTGAAGGACCCACCTATATTGGGGTACTGTGACGTAATTGGTGAAGGACCTACCAATATTGGGGTACTGTGATGTAATTTGTGAAGGACGCACCGATATTGGGGTACTGTGACATAGGAGTGAGTTTAACAAAATATGGTGTAACTAAATCCCCATAATTGTTTGCAAAGAGTAGGTGATTTTAAGCAGCCTTATACAATTTCAAATTGTATTCCTTTTGCTTTTGGGCTGTTCCCTTAATTTGTATATTTCAAAAAATAAATACATTAATAAAATGTTTTCAAAGCAATCATACAGTAAGTTTGTAATTTTACAGATAATTAAAACCTGTAAGTATGAGTATAATAAGGTGGTGAGGTCACCTTGTCTATTTTGACGTAATATTTGTAAATTTCCCTGTCAATTCTCCAAACTTTGTGAAATAAACCCAAAGTCAATAAATGTTCGATTTGTCATACCAGAAACATATATTCACATTGTTTAGTATTATAGGAAGATCACGGGTCTATACAGTGAACAGCAATTAGCTATCTTTCATCTTATAAACATCTGGATTCACTTTTTTGCAAAGTGTGTTTTATTTTAAGCATTGATTTGAGATCTGGCATCAGCTTTTTTGAGATCAGCTGGTAAAGGCTTTCAGTTAATTATACACCTGGTCTATGGAGACACGGAGGGTTTGTCTCACTCCTGTCTTGGCAGGTATCAATTTCAAACAGTATCTGCTTCCCCTAACAGATTATAATTATCTGTATTTATATAGCGCCAATTTATTCCAAAGCACTTTACAATATTGTAAAGGGGGAAATTTATCAATAAATGAGACAATCACAAAATGTTACAGGAAGAATAGGTGATGAGGACCTTCCTCGAACGAGTTTTTACTCTATATTTATAATGGTAGCTGTCCTTCAGGGCTTAAAGTCATGTACAGGCATACACCCTGCATTATAGGTGGTGTTAATACCTATGTTTGCTTGTTCATTGCTTGCAGAAGAAAGCTTAATTTTAGTGTGTCAAATGCTCATTCCCACGAACGTTTGCCACGATCTCCTGGAGGAGTGTGGAAGCTGGCCTCCTGCCCACCGACTATGATCCAGGCCTGACACCCCGTTCGGGAGTTACTCTGCCCAGCCACCCATAGCCGCTTTCTCTCGGTGCCCCTGGTTTAGCACTGTCCCTTCTAACGAATTAAACCGAACACTCCCTGGTGGCCATTTGCATGAACAAATCCACAAATGGTCCTCAGCAGTACTTAGCCACAACCGCTATGGAACTTCTTTAGTAATGAGGACTTTGTGATTCCCCGGTCACCTTGGATTGTCCATGCGAACTAACCCGCAAATGGTCCTTAGTGGTTCTTAGCCATGATTGTTATGGAACCGGTTTTGGCTATGTAACCTTGTGGTTTCTGGTCAACTTAGTCCTGTGTTTTGAACTACTTGTCGACCCAACAGGAGATCACTTTTTGGAGGAAAGGTGCCTGAAACTAAGAGGAACAAACGCTCCCTGAGAGCCAGATGGAGCATCCTGTATCTTGGGTATCTTGTCTATCCTAGACTTAAGATAAGGCCAGGGACTAATTAAAAGTATTTCGAAATTATTGGGCAGACTAGATGGGCCGAATGGTTCTGCCTTCACAGTCTATGTTTCTATGTTTCTATGGAGAACCCCTGTTGAAGTTTGTGCATAAAAGGTTGAGTTTGGCTCATTAAAACTATGACAACAATGTGTCGTCTAGTTACTGGGAGGGCAGAGGGCTATTCACTGCTCAGCATCTTGTTCCAGCTCGTGGAGGATCCAACGGGTGAAGTCCTTTTTAGGAATATAGTACCCAGGACTGTGTGTTTTCCAGTTCCTGGGAGGAAATAGCTAGTCCCCTACCCTGTTCCAGGACAGAGAGGATCCCAGTCAAGCCACGCCGACTGTGGCAGAAGAGCTGAGGTTTCTCCGGTTCAAGCTAGGAAGCGATCCTTGGTGAAGGTACCCAGTCGGAGTACAAGGAGCTCTGCTATATGGGGATATACTGTACTCTTTGACACCTAGAGTTAGGAGTTAGAGTAGACTTGACCGGGACTACTTTGCAAGGATTTAATGTAACACTAAAGCCGGAATACAAGCCTGTATACATTTAATGACCGTGGTCATTGGTAAAATGCAGGTCCCTTCCGAACATTTAAGATAAAATTAATTATATAAAGGATTTACTTACCTTTTTCCACTGCACCTCTTCTCTCACAATGTCATGGAGGAGTCATGGCCTCCACCAGCAATGGTTCATTAGAATGCCTCTGCTGGCAATGGTTTAATCCATTGCTTGCTCCTCATAGGAATCATGGCCTCCACCGGCGATGGTTCAATCCATTGCTTGCTCATCACAGGAGTCATGTCCTCCTCTGGTGATGGTTCAGTCCGTTGGTTGCTCCTCATAGGAGTCATGTCCTCCTCTGGTGATGGTTCAGTTCGTTGGTTGCTCCTCATAGGAGTCATGTCCTCCTCTGGTGATGGTTCAGTCTGTTGGTTGCTCCTCATGAGTCATGGCCTGCGCCGGCGATGGTTCAATCCATTGCTTACTGCTTACAGGGGTCATGGCCTCCTCTGGCGATGGTTCAATCCAATCCTTGATCCTCACAGAGGATCTGATGGGCATGCGCAGCAAGAGCCTTGTGCACCCAAGCTTTCTCATAAGGAACAGGGCCGGCGCTACCTGTAAGGCGGACTAGGCAGCCGCCTAGGGCGCCCCTTGGGAGGGGTGCCGCCAGGAGTGCCAGCCCCCCCATGCTGCAGCCGCCCGAGCGCTCTGTAGAGAGCCTCAGGTGGCTGCAGCTTTGCCCGGGCGGTGCGTCCATGAGTGCGGACCGCACAGCCCGGGCGCAGCCTGAGGAGAGGGGCTGACAGGAGGGCAGCGCTCAGCGCTCCCTCCTGTCACTCCCTCACTGTAGCGTGGCCGAGCCCTGCATCATGATGGTCCGCGGGTACAGGGAGCATCTGTCTCCTGTACCTGGCCGGACTAACAGGAAGTACACACTGAATGTGCACTTCCTGTTAGTCCGGACTATACTGGGCTCGGCCATGCTAGAACTGAGGGGGGGGAGAAATTGGGAGGGGAGGGGGGAAGAAGAAATTGTCAGGGAGGGGGGGAGAAGAAATTGGGAGGGGAGTTGGGAAGAAGGAATTGTCAGGGGAGAGGAGGGAGAAGAAATTGGGAGGGAGGGGGGGGAGAAATTGGGAGGGAGGGGGGGGTGTAAGAAGGAATCTGGTCAGGAGAGGAGGGAGAAGAAACTGGGAGGGGAGGGGGGGGAAGAAATTGGGAGGGGGGAAGAAGAAATCTGGCAGGAGGGGGAGAGGAAGAAACATTGGGAAGGAGGGGGGAGAAGAAACTGTCAGGGGATGGGAGAAGAAATTGGTGGCAGGAGGGGAGAGAAGAAATTGCAGGAGGGGGGAGAAGAAATTGGTAGGAGGGGGGAGAAGAAATGGGAGGGTGGGCAGAAAACAAAATTGGTAGGAGAGGGGAGAAGAATGGGCAAGGGGAGAAGAAGAAATTGGTAGGGGAGGGGGGAGAAGAAGAAATGGGAAGGAGGGGGGGAGAAGAAGAAATGGGAGGGGAGGGGGAGAAGAAATGGGAGGGTGGGAGAAAAATAAATTGGTAGGGAGGGGGGGGAGAAGAAAATGGGAGGGTGGGAGAAAACAAACTGGAGAAAGAGGGGGGAGAAGAAATGGGAGGGGGAGAAGAAGAAATTGGTAGGAGGGGGGAGCAAAATGGGAGGGGGGAGAAGAAGAAATTGGTAGGGGAGGGGAGAAGAAATTGGGAGAGTGGGGAGAAGAAATTGTGAGGAGGGGAAAGAAAACCCAGTAGGGGAGGGGGAGACGAAATTGGTAGGGGAGGGGGGAGAAGAAGAAATGGGGAGGGGAGGGGGGAGAAGAAATGGGGAGGGTGGGAGAAGAAGAAATTGGTAGGTGAGGGGGGAGAAGAAATGGGGAGGGAGAAGAAGAAGAAATTGGTAGGGAAGGGAGGAGAAGAAGAAATTGGTAGGGGAGGGTGGAGAAGAAATGGGGAGGAGGGAGAAGAAGAAATTGTCAGGGGAGGGGGGAGAAGAAATTGGGAGGGTGGGAGAAGAAATTGGCAGGGGAGGGGGAAAAGAAGAAATTGGTAGGAGGGGGAGAAGAAGAAATTGGTAGGAGGGGAAAAGAAGAAATTGTAGGGAGGGGAGAAGAAATTGGTAGGGGAGGGGGAGAAGAAGAAATTGACAGGAGGGAGAAGAAGAAATTGACAGGGGGGAGAAGAAGAAATTGGTGGGGGGAGAAGAAATTGACGGGGTGAGAGTGACAGGGGAGGGAGGGGCAATGAGAGTGGGAAGGGGGAGGGGAGAAGAGAGTGACAAGGGAGAGGGGGGAGAAGAGAGTGACAAAGGGAGAGGGGGGAGAAGAGAGTGACAAGGGAGGGGGAGAGATTGACATCCATCACACACACATGCAATGCACCCCTTGCACACAGAAAAACACACAATGCATTACACACACAGACACACACACACACAAACAATGCAACCCTTACACACAATGCATCCCTTACACACACAGAAACACACAATGCATTCCTTACACACACTCAATGCACCCCTTACACACACTCAATGCACCCCTTACACACGCACACACTGCATCCTGTACATACACAGAAACACACCTTGCAGCCCTTACACATACAAACACAGATTCACACAATGCATTCCTTACACACATATCAGGACATCCCCTACACACTCCACCCCCTGTGAACAAACTCATTGGTGGAACATGAAGGTGGACCCTGGGACCCAGACCTTGAGCTGTGTAAAGGGCCCCCCAAAAAATGGAGCTGCTTCCCGTTCTCCCAGAACATTGATTTTGTGACCACAGTTACAAACAGCCTCCAGAGAGCCTGTTCTACACCAGACCAGTGGAGCCAGACTGCAGCTAGAGCCCATCATCATCCTCATCTGGTTGTAAGTAGGCAATCTAGTATATTATTCGTGGCACTAAGCTCTAATTTACCTCACATTAAAGAAACACTATAGTCCCCAGAACCACTGCAGCTTAATGTAGTTGTTCTGGTGTCTATAGCCTGTCCCTGCATGCCTTATAATGTAAACACGGCGGCACTGCAACACTGGCGTTAGTTAACATGGCAGATCATATGGGTGGAGCATTGTGATGTCACATGGGGGGGGAGGCGGCAAACTTTACTTTTGCCTAGGGCAGCAAAAATCCTTGCACCGGCCCTGATAAGGAAGCATTGAATCAGTGCTTTCCTATGGACGCTATCGCGTCACGTGACTGGGTTATTAGTATGACAGTCACTAGAGAAATGTAATCCTGTACTGTAAGCACTGCGGTTTCTAAAAAAACTACATTGGTTCACATTGCAGGTATAAAAGTAAAGAACCACTTCATTGAGATAACAGGACCTGAATGACTTTAGGGGTCCTTTAAGGCTATTTAAAACTTTTAAATTTTCTTTAAACTAAATTCCTTCATTTTCAATCAGATCAGATTTGTTTAAACAGATAAACAATGAAAAACACAAAAAAGCGTGCAAAAAAAAAAAATGCAAGATAATACTTAACCCACAGCCCATCAGAGGAATGTGATAGCTCATGTAGCCATAGCACCAAGCCTGTTCGGGCTTTATTTGTGGAAAGGCCAACTCAGCCTTAAAGTCTTCCTAAGTTAATGACATAAGTGCCATTGAGGTAGTAAATGATATAATCTAACTGATCGGGTTTGATACTGAGCATTATACTAAGCAGTTTGAGCTCCCTTCTGGGGAGGGCACTGTACTGGTAGAGGGTAATTATTATTAGTTAGGAGCCCTCTGTGGGATAATTAAGGAGGGTCCAGGTTGCAGTATAGCCAGTTGCTTGGGATGAATCCTGCAAAGCTTCATACAGCACAACAGACTAATTACAGGTAAATTGGCTGTGAATATCCTCATTTCATATACTGTATTTGTCTAATGAATACATGGTTGGAATTCTCTCTCTCGAGGCTGCTTTGTTGACACCAGATGTTACCTTTTGTTTTTGTATTCTCACAAGTAGAAAGGTTGTTTTTTTTATTACACATTGTTTCCGTATGTAAAAAGAACGCGCTTATAGGTAAATAAAAAATAGATTTAGAAGTAAACAGCTCGGAAAAAATATGTTACTCTAAAACAACACAAATAAGAAGGAGATTGAATTAGGAAAGTTTTGAAACTCTGATCACGATTGTCATGCCATAATTTATATTGTGGAGAATTAATAAAAATACAATTTAAATCAACATTCTCAGGTACAATCGCAGGTGACATTTTTTAAACTTTCTTGCTTTAAATATATCAGGATTTTATTTCTAGAATATTCAGTAATTTAATTAAATTAAATTACTCTATGGAGTAATTGGAGATAGATATATTTACTTGAGTTGTGAGAAGAGTTGGCACAGGCCCGTCGGATAAAATATATTTTTCAATTGTTGACATACGAACAAGAATCAAAATATCTCCTTTAAATTTTAAACTTTTTAAAACTGGAGATTTCTAAATGTTTTTAACGGACAATTTTAAAGGGAAGTTACATCTAAAATGAATGATTGTAAGATAGAGCCACGGTGTTCAAAGTACGATACATAGTACGAACCGATGGTTATCCATGTGCACAAATGTCTTAACCTTCCCTACTAGGCACCAGCTCACAAAAATGATATGCGGACATGGCGAGCCCTAGGAATATGGGGTGCCCTCAAGATGTGGGGTACAGGAAGGGTGGTGCAGTTACCCATTTTATTTGATTTTAGTGTATTTATTCAAACTTCGGAGACAATCGATTGACTCCCCCTATAATAAATAATGCGCAAAGTACTATCTCTGCTAACACACAATATTTTCTCACTGACACCATAGTCTAAAGAACTGCGCAAATAAATATAAAATGCCTGGTGCACCCCAATAAATAAACAAGTGCCAGCTGAAAATAGATGTTAGTTTTACATATGTAGCCGATACCTGGTGCAATATGGCAGCTTTTAATCCACGAGTTAATGTGTATTTACATAAATGGGAATAAAGTTTTATTTTGAAATGAATACTTTATAATTAGTGGGTGCACATGAAATAAATTCTTGTAACTTACAATAACGCAATAAAACACATCAATAGTTGTATTAGAATTTGTTCATTCCATGCGTTGCCATGGTAACCTAATGACATTTACCAGGACTTATTATAAAGCATAGATAAGGTCACGTTGCAGAGTGGGTGCTCTTTTGGGGGTTTTGTTTGTTAGTTTGTTTTATTGTTTTTTTTCATAGATGGAAATAAATAAAATATTTCTTGTGGTCTGTAAATTTTGTCTGCTTTCACTCCTGGTTTAGAGGCAGCATCCCAAAAAGCAGGACAATGAGAGGATAGCCTGCTCGTTTATCCAATTACTCCTTTCACTTCCAGGCCTCCCTGGGGAGCCAAACTTGTTTGTTACAGCGCTCATATCTATTATTAATCTTTAAGTAGTTAGCAGAATAATTTACAATGTTCATTAGCTAGAATCACCTTATGGATTTCTAAACAGCATCCACGACGCGTCTAATGAGCCCCAGAAGTGTAGCAGTATTTTATGCGATGACAGTCTTGTATTAACGGAGTCTTAAAATAAAAAAGTGGTTACTTTTAGTCTGTGCGAAAAGAGGCGAGACGATACAACAAACTCATTTACCGTAAAACAATATGGTGTTAATGTCTTCTAATGCAGAGCTCGCTAAAAATGCAGCAGCTACTCAACGAATGACTCCCAAAGCATGTCTAGACACAGGTTGATCAATAGGCAAACTAAATAAACATATTGAGAAGCTGTTGCATAATTAGTGCCCTGTATAAACAAAAGTAATTAACACTAACATCATTTCGAACATCTCTAATCCACATTCACATTTTTAAAACAAACAGGTGAGCCTTACTCCAAAATAAGGTCAACACTGATTTTTATGATTATGCCTTAGTATAAAATTAAAGTTTATCTTTGTGACAGATCAACTAGTCCCGGAATTATTATTTTATATTGAATGGTCCAGTATACGAACATCACCAAACAGATTGCCCCATTTAGTTTGTATACCGAACAAAGTACCGAACGGAAAGACCACTCAGAACAGTCGTGTGCCGCTCATTGGCCTGCTTGACCTCAGTCGCACCTTCACAAAACGCACTTACCCTAACATTCTAGCGGTCGGCTGGGTGGCCACTGTTCATACGGACAAACATGAGGCGATGGCCATCTTGTTCTCTCGAATGCCTACAGCAGTGTTTGTGGAGTGTGTAGGGAACTGCACTCAGTCCCATCAGTCTGAGTCAGGGTGCTTTAACTGTACTGGAAACAAACACCAGATTCCCAAAATAGAAGAATAAAGGAAAAGAGGTCCAGGCACTTTATTAGAACCACAGCTGTGGTTCTAATAAAGTGCCTGTCTTAAACCAAGGAGTGCCTGGACCTCTTTTCCTTTATACTACAGCAGTGTTTGGTCTTCGATTGTATGGGATTATTATCGGGCACTCAAAGGCGCGAACACAGCTGGGACTTCCACCTCCACAGGTGTTCGGTTCGATTCTTCTGAGAAGAGCGGCGTTCGGTGGGAGCAAACTCCCGAACGAACTAGGGGCACACGACCAGTGTACGCACGAACAGTTATCTTTGCTGTTTTATTATGTTTTGTACTCCCAAAAGAGACTGGCCGTACTGCCTGAATTCATAGAACTCTTTTGGGCAGGCGCCTTATGTGTGGTCGGTCTAAACTATACCCCGGTGGCGTTTCAGCTGCGTTCGTGAGATCTGAGTGCTTTTCAGAAAGTGTTGGGTGCTCAGATCTAAGCTATCGGGGGATATAAGACTTAAGGGGGTACCTAATAGTTAAGTGTATTTTTGGGGGTGTTTTTGTTATGTTTGTCCTGGACCTGAGAGTTAATGCAATTATGTGTGTACTTTTATTGTAGTCCCCTCTTAGGTCCAGTAGGGAATGCCGCTGGAATATGTTATGGAAAACCCCTTGCATTGGGACTTGCATATAAGGCCAGTTGTGGCTGCCAATAAAACAGTTCAGCTTCACCTTCAACACAGAGCCTCATCTTGTGATTGTAGGGAGCAGCTATATCTGCTCTACTACCTCTTTGATTACTGCTTGGGAATACTACAAAATTACTCATACTAGGGGGGAAGGACATCTCTGGCGGCGGAAACCCCTCTTCTCTCGGGGTGGCCGCTACAATCTTATTCCAGGAGATGCGTACATATTTTACTAAAGGCTGGTAACGTATGTTTTTGATATCCTTGAGTTTTCTTTATAAACGATGTACGAATTTGGGGCTCCCTTTTCACTTTGACTGTGATGTTAGAACACATTTTAAAATGTTGTTCATCGTTTATTAGAAATGTATCAATATAGAAATTTGAGCTGTTTCCACTCTCAGCCGCTCAGAACAATAATACACAAGACCCAGCGCACTAAATCATTCAGTAAAACAGCCGTTGCAAAGCTCCCCCTGGACAAACTGGGGAAGGGGGCCATGACTGAGGCACAAAGTTGAGGTAGCCTGACTGTTTCCTGCCCTCCCACCCAATAAATAAATAAATAAATATAAAATAAATTCATGAAATTTGCTGTTCTTTATGTGTTGCTCATCTGTTCTAGACTGGACTGGTCCAATCGGGACTTTGGGAGCCACAACTTATTCTGGTGACCAATGCCGACTGGTGAGAGCTCATGGAGA